ACTAGGAACTGACAAAGCCAACAACCCAGAATCACAAGTGCAAGTTTTTGTTTTTGTTTTTGTTTTTGTTTTTTTGTACTGTGAAGCGAACTCAGGACCTTGTGCTTGCCAGGCAGGTGCTTGTGCCACTGACCTATATATATCCCTGGCCCCAGAGTCACAAGTGAATACGGACAAAATGACCTGAACTAAAGCTTCAATTTAGCCAGAGGACCACAAAAGAGGAAGCCTCACAACACATGATACATGTAGAAAATAAGTGCTTCATCATAGCCAGACAAATACGGCTCTACCCTGACTCAGAACAGCAAGGGCCTATTGGTCAGTCTAGACTTTCACCCTTACCAGGTGTCTTGGTTAGTTTTCTCTCATTGCTGGGACAAAATACCTGACACCCAAAATTAAGGGAGGAAAGGTTTATGTAGCTCACAGTCTGTGGAGGTTTCAGTCCATAATCAGATGGCTCCAAGGCAGGGTGGTGGGCACAGAGGCAACCGTGTAGGCTGGCAGAAGATAACAAAAGCAGCAAGAGCAAAAGGAGCGGGGAGGGCAAGCCTCTTTTCCTCCTTTATATTGTGTGCAGCCCCCACCCCCACTATGTCCCCAAGGTGGGTGTAACACTCAACATCTCCCTGTTCACCTCTTGGCAGGTTGAGGATGTTTACAAAGTGAGGACCTTGGCCCCCTGCTGAGTCACTTAGTTAAACTTCTAAACTTCTCAAGTTGACGCAGTATCAGCCATAATACCAGGTGTTATAGAAGACTTTGTATAGAGAGTTGGGACTTTTCATCCCTGCTGACTTAATGAGGCCCCACACCCCTGTATTAATTGTAGACTACACTTCTGCCTGTCCCAGCCTGGGAAATATCAGTAGAGCTCTCCTTGGCCAGCAGTAATAACCCCCTTTTCAATGTCAGTGGAGGCTAAGTATGGGTGCTGGAATTTCCCACCTGCAATAATGAAGTAATGCCTCTGTAATACATAGATGAAACTGTTTCAGAATAATCCATCTAAAAGAGAAGGAAGGTCCAAATAAGATCCAGAGTCTTACAGTACCCAAAATGACAAGGTTTCAATTAAAAGTAACTTGTCATACCAAGATGCAGGAAGATATGAAACCAAATGAAAAGATAATCAGTAGATACCAACACTATGATGACAGAATTATTTGATGAAAGATCTTATATTAGCCATGATAAAAAGACTTCAAAAAGTAATTGTGAACATACTCAGAACAAAGAATCTCAGCAAAGAACTAGAATATAAAAACAATATAAAGAAGAACCTAGTGAAAACTGTCTTGGTTACTTTTCTCTCGTTGCTGAAACAAAATACCCAACGCCCCAAATGAAGGAAGGAAAGGTTTATTTAGCTTACAGTTTGTGGAGGTTTCAGTCCATACTTGGCTGGCTTCAAGGCAGAAGGTAGCAAAGCAACAAGAGCAAAGCCGGGACTGGCAGCCGAACAGCAAACAGCCAGAGCAAAACGGGAGGAATGGCTCCAAGCAGGTTCTTTCCCTGCCTTACTTTGTAAACAGGCTACCCCCACCTAAGGGGCGTGTAGCTCTCACATAATCTCCATGCCCTCTTCCACAGGCTCAGGCTGTATACAAAGTAAGCACCCTGGCTTCCTGCTGAGTCACTTAGTCAAACCTCTAGACTCCCCAAGTTGACGCAATGTATCAACCATAACAAAAACCTTAAATTGAAAATTATAGTAATGAAAACAACAAATTCAATTAGTAGGCTCAGCAGTAGAGTAGAGAGAGCACAGGAAAGATGCAGTGACCTTAAAGATAAAAACAGTAAAAATTACCCATTTTGAACAATAAAAAGGAATACAATTTTTTTTTTTAAAAAAGGCGGAAACTCAGGAACCTGAAAAAAGATCAAAGATTGCTGTGATTGGAGTCTTGAAAGAGGAGGAGAAAGGGATGGAGCTGAAAAAGTACACAAGGATACAGTGGCTAAAAAGTCCCCAAATATGGCAAAATACAAATTCTCAGGTTAGGAAGCTAAGCAAACTTAAATCCTCACCGAACACGTCATAGTCAAACTTGTGGAAAACACAGGTACTCCTTCATGCCGTTCCCCACAAGTCTTGAAATCCCCTTGCCAATAAGTCAGTGTAGTCTACAATATTAACAAAGAGGGAAAATCTTAAGATTGTATCAATCATGTAGGAAAAAACATATCCTAGAAACTGGTATACATTCATGACAAAAACACTCAGATAAGTAGTAATTGAGAAGTTTACAATTTTATTAACATTTATAAAATCTACAAGTAACATCATACTTGATAAGGAAAAACTGCTTTTACTGCTAAGATCAAGAACAAGGCAAGGCCGTCTGTCTTATCCATCTTACTGCTTTCATTCAGCATAGTACTAGAGGTTCTAGTTATTGCAATAAAGAAAATAAAAGGAAATTAAAAGGCATATAGATGAGAATGGGAGGGGCAAGTATCCCTACTTATAGTCTATCATGATTGACTGTGAAAATCTCAAGAAATCTACAAAAAAGAAAAAGAAAGAATTCTTAGAACTAATAAATGAGTCCAACAGGGTTACAAGATAAAAGGTAAGTTAGACAAAAATCCATGTTCTTCCAGTGTACGGAGTAAACATAGACACCAAAATTAAGAATACATTTAGAACTGGAATGTCTCAAAAATTTTATTAAAATACTTGGTGTAAATCCAACCAAAAGTGTAATGTATACTAAAATCAAAAAGTGCTGGTGAAGGAAGTCAAAAATGATCTAACAAAATGGAGAGAGAATTTGTTTATGAACTAGAAGACCCAGCATAGCAAATTTTTAGTTAGTATGCAATCCTGTCAGAATTTCGGCAAGAGATTTTATATATAACCAAGAGAATTCTGAGATAACTGGATCTGAAAGAGCTAAAACAATTTTGCAAAAGTGGAATCATCACCTGCTTTCTGTATAATCTGATCTGTTCTATAGCTATGGTGATCAGTGTGCTGTGGTACTACTAGAGAGATAAATTTACAGATCAGTGCAATGGAATACAGCCCAGAAATAGAACCACAAAGATACACTCCCACTTTTGACAGAAATGCAGAAGCAATTCAGTGAAAGTAGATAGCCGTTTCACTAATAATTTAGGAACACTTGAACCTCCCCAGGCAAAAACCAACTAGCTCACTAAATAAAATAAACCTCAACTCAAATATTATGCTTTATATAAAAATTAACTGAATTTTTTAATTGTAAGACATAAAATTATTATCTTTAGAATGAAAATAGGAAGAAGTCATTAAGATCTTGGTCTCTGCAAAGAATTATTAGAATTGACATGAAAAGTACAGTCCATAGAAGGATAAAATGATAAACCAGATTTAAAACTTGAAACTTGCTCTGTTAAAGACTGTATGAAGAGACTGCAAAGATAAGCTATAGACTGGGAGATAATATTGATAAGCCATATGATATTGATAAGCCGCACTCTAGCACCCAGAGTATATGGGAATTCTCAAAGCTCATGTATGTATATCTATAATTCTTTCAAAATTACAAAGTTAGTAAAAGTAGGTTACTGAATGGTTGAATCTAGGTAACACAGGTATTTCATATCTGTATAGTAACGTCACCGATACATTTTTATATCATCTTACATATATTAAATGAGACTTTGAAAAAAAATTGACTAACCAAATTTGACCCAGAAATCAAACACATAAAATACCTAAGTGAAATAACTCATATGTTCACACAGAAACGAATATTGAAATGTTTATACTTTTTAATTCATAATCACCATGAACAGAAGCAGTTCTGATTTGTCAGGTGGGGAATACATAAACATGGAATGTACTCATGATGGAATACTACTAAGCATTGAGAAAGGAATGGACTGTGGTTGTTTTTTTGTGTGTGTGTGTGGTAGTGGAAATCAAACTCACCATCTTGTGCTTGCAAGCCATGCTGTGCAGCTGAGCTATATCCCCAGCCCTAGGAACAAACTGTTGGTATACAACAGCATGGATAAATGTCATCTATATTCTCTAAGTGAAAGAAATCAGACCTAAAAGGATACATTCATTATGATTAAATTTCCATGACATTCTTGCAGACAATTTACAGAGGTAGAAATTAGATACATAGTTGCCTTAAGCTGGGCTTAGAGGACATGGAGGAATTTTAGGACTGGACAGTAACAGTTCTGTATCTTTCCTTTGGTGCAGGTTACACCATTTATGTGTTAATCAAAACTTAGAGAACTATACTCCAAAAGTGATCAGTTTTACTCTATATAAACAATGTTTATAATTTTTTAAAATGAAAAATATTATTAGTGCTGAAGGAAAACAATTGTTTTAACTAAAATCAAATTAAAGATAATTTTAGTAAATAGTTTTTCATATGATATGTGTATCTTCTTCCTCTAAGTTATAAATCTTCAACTATGTTGATAAAAGGTTCACATGTACTAGAAAAATACTGGAATAATTATTACACTACAACATAAAATTAAACTCTGAAATTGCTCTTTCAATTATCACTCTAAGTTAATATTACACATTTCGTTAAGAAAATAAATTACTATTGGGAAATTGGGAAAAAATGTTATCACTTACATGAAAAATGTTTATTTCCCTAGGAGGCAGCGGTATGAAAAAGGTGCTGAAAATGTGTAATATAATTTTAGCCTTTAGAAAGGTACTCATAGAGGAACGTAGTAATCATATGATGAGCTTTGTTAGACCATAGCTACCACAGATCTTCCATATCTGACTGTGTAGAACTTGCTTTTAAAACTTCTATTTCCATTTTTCATAATCCTAAAAAAAGTCCTTTTAAATTATTTAGTGTCTGACTCCAGAGACTAGCATCTTGAATAGTACCTGCATATATTAGTTTGTTTCTGAATGATGCATTTTACTTTCTGTTGCATGCTTTTACAGAAACAGCAATGATCTTCTTAAGGTTATTTGAAACATGCAAAAATTTTCTAATTATTTTGTTTCTGTACAGGAATTTCGGCAGAAAGTAATGCTAGGAACTCCATTCCTAGTTATTTGGCTAGTTGGGTTTATAGCAGACCTAAATATTGATTCTTGGCTCATTAAAGGGCTAATGTATGGTGGCGTTTGGGCTACAGTACAGTTCCTTTCAAAGTAAGTGTATTGTTTTTAAGTATATTTTGATTGTACATGAAAGTATGTAAGTGGTACCCTGCTGTATGTTTTGTATGTTTAGAACACTACCTTTATGTAGAATGTTTGATCTTTATTGTTTAAATAATTTTGATAAGTTAATATATAAAATCTTTTAGATTTTAAAAATACTAAAATAATTCTAAAGATGTTTAATGAGTGAAATCTAGCATGTCATTTTGAAAGCTAATATGCAGTTTTAGAAATTTAAATATTTCTAAATAAAATTTCAATAGAAATGAACTAAATTTGTTTTTGAACTAAAATATTTACATAGTATGTAATATGCATATTATTTATTTCTGAGTAATTATAATAGTGACCTCACCTTTTCATAGGCTTTATATTTCTTTGGCCATAGACACTAAGCAAGGAGAGGTTTGATTTTATTAACATGGTGAGCCTAGGCGTAATTATGATATAAGCTCAGTTTAAAAAGTTCTTTCCTCCTTTTTGTTTAAACATTTTGACCATTTTCTTTTTTTCTTCTTGTCCATAGGTCCCATGCCTTAGTTTTGCCCCATTCTGCAAACCTGAGAAGGTGTTTATGATGATCCCGAACTTCCCATTTAATTTCCACTCTTTTAGTATCCTATTTTTACCTGCAGTTTAGAAAAGAGTTGTGAAAATATTTCACAAAGGAATGGGAATAGCCAGTAATACGCTAATATTACCGCAGGGGCTGAACTCTGGTTCACTTACTTTGTTTTAGCATTTCTAGGAGCTCCAAAAGAGATATATAGGAAGTTACCAAGATTCCCTGCTTAATGTATGTGGGGAGTTGATTCTGTTTATGTCAAAAAATTTATTATTATTTATTTCTTCCTCAACTTGAAGTATTATAAATACAAAACTTCAGTTTTACCAAATCAGCTAGTTCATTCTGTCTGAAAAGATGTGTCCCAATCTTAACTGAAGTTTGTAGATAAGACTAATGGTGAAGCATAAACATGTGAGCTTTTTTTTCATACTTTTTCATTGGTTGAAATTATAACCCATCTCTGAGGAATAATATTCTGGATGGTGGAGTTGCTCTTTATAATAAAGTAAATTATTGATTTAAAGCAATCAGAGTACACTGAAATTATGAAATTGAAAAATACATGGAATATGATTTTAATTATTTGTACATTAAAAAGAACTTCAGAATCTTGCTGACTCAGTTTAGCTATGAGCTCATTATTATTGGTCTTATTATCACTGTGAAGACATTCCCAGTGGGGGTAAACATCTTAGACTTCTGGATTCTGGTTAAACTAATGCTTACTATACGAATATATACAAATTTTATTTAAATAAGTTTTCATTTTTATGATGAAATATAAAGTTCATATTTTATGAAACTTGTATTTTACAGGTCCTTTTTTGATCATTCAATGCATAGTGCATTGCCCCTTGGGATATATTTGGCAACCAAATTCTGGATGTATGTGACGTGGTTCTTCTGGTTTTGGAATGATATCCTTTGGTTGTAAAGACCATATCTAAAACTAACTTTGTTATTTAAACAAATGTTAAATTTAGCATTAGTACTGAACTACTCATAGTTCTTATAGTAAAGCAGCATTTCTAAAACAGTGAACTAAATGTTTTTAAATGTTTTATATTTAATAGGTTGCTTTTGAAAGCTCTTGTAAACAACTGTATATAATAATAGCTACCATTTACTGAGGCTGTTTTGTTTTGCTCGCTGCTAGAGATTGAACCTCAGGTATTCACATTAAATTACATCCCCAACCCTTTTTATTTTTTATTTTGAAACAGTTTTTCACTCAGTTGTCCAGGATGGGCTTAAACTTTCAATCTTCTGCCTCAGCCTCATTGAGTGCTGGGATTACAGGTGTATAAAGAGTTACAAGTGTTTTAAAAAGCATTTTCTTAAGTATTTGTTTAACCCCCATCCTATAAAGTAGTATTGTAACTCCATTTTATGAGAAAATTTTAGTCTTAAGGAACCCAAGGCCACGTTAGCTGGTCTCTGGTAAAGGCGTGATTGAAACAAGTATTTGTCTAACTCTCAACATGGTTTAATCCTTTCTACCCACATTGCTTGACAAAATATCCAACATCCACAGTTTAAAGGAAGAGAGGTTTATTTGGCTCACGTTTCAGCGGACTCAGTCCATGGGTGGCTGGCTCCAAGGCAGGCCCATCATGGAGGGATGACGTAGTAGAGCATTGCTCTTAGTTCACAGTGGCCAGAGAAGGGGAACAGTGCCAGAGAGGAAGGGGCAAGGGACCAGATAAAGTACCCAAAGTCATGTCTCCATAACCCCCCTGACAAACCCAGAAATGTGCGTTACGAATCCCCTAGGCCGGTGGTGGCAAACCTGTGGCATGCGTGCCATAGCAGGCTGTTCCATCAAAAGCGAAAAGGTTTGCCATCACTACTGGACAGTTCCCAAACCAATCAAATTAGCACTTAAGCTTAATTATGGTACTACCAAACTGAGTTTCATGTTTAGTATCAAGCTATTTTCTCTAAGCATTACCTTACTATCATAAATTACTTTCCTGTGGTATAGGTAATAGCGAAGATTCATCATCTTTGTTCAGAACGATTACTAAAATTTTTTTAACTTTAGCAAAATTATCAGTGTAATATATTTTCTAACAGCAGTGTAATTTTAAATTGTGTACAGTATAGGCATGTGTCACTATAAAGCCAGTATCAGTTTTGATACTTTCACGTAGAGAAAGTTATTAAGATTTATTTTAATAGATGTCTGTTAATTCCTTTTTCAAAATATAATAAATATTTAAGATGTTATTTAAATGGCATGCAATTTTCAGTAACTTATAACTTTTCCAGTTTTAGTAAATACCTAGTTCGACTTTTCACTTCATAATCTTGCATAAGTGATTTTGTGGTTTAGTTGAAAAACAAAAGAATGTTCATTTTATTTTTTGACCCTGAGCCCCAGAGTTGTAGTCATAATTTTATATTTTTACTGTATTATTATTTTCAGAAAGTATAATACTTTGTACTTTTAAATATTTTCTTAATGTTAGAATTTAAATTCTTCCATGTGGCAGTTTTCACCAGTTAATTCTGGCTTTGTATTATACTTTCATATAAAAGTTATTTCTCAAGGATTTGTTAAACCTTAGAATGTCTTACCGGAACATTTAGTATAAATAAAACAGATCTGCTTGTTTTCATTACCTCATTGATTTTAAACATACGAAATGCACTGACTTCTGAGATGACTTGGGTATTTTAGACATATTTTCTAACCTTGTATTTCCTAAATTGGACTTAAAATTTAGCATCTAAGGAAAAAAGCTCTTATTCACATCTCAAAATAATTTTAAACCATTGCTGTACTCCTGGTCTGTTAAGTGGAAAGAAGCAGAAACTAGTAGATGATAAAGCAATGAAACCTTAACATCTGAGAATATTCCCTAATTTCAGTGTTTTCTATTTTATTTTTCTTTTTTTCATAGCAAAGATGACTTATTGAGCTTCACAGAGAAAATGTGATGCTATTTCATAGCAAAATTAACTTTGAATTTCAGGAGGAGATGGGTATTAGCAGTGTACTCAGCAAAGCCCTGTTAGTACAGCTAACTGCATTAGACTTGGGTGGTTTCCTCTGATGTTCTCAAGTTAAGATTTTTCTAAAACAATTCTGCTATTTCAGGTAAAGGTCAGAGTTAAATTCATGAGTTTACAAAATAATGTGATTTGTGCTTAAAAAGCTGACAGTTGACAGCCACCGTTTTTGGGTGAGTTTCATCAGTGAGTTTTTTTTATAAACTGCCAGTTTTATAATTGGACTATATCTGAAAGCTTTATCCCCGTCCACCTGTCTCCCTTTAAAAAATAAAGACATGCACTAAAATACTGTTTTTGCAAATGAGATAAAAATATTTTAAAATAAATATTAAAGTGAAAAAGTAAGTCCTTTTGTAGAATTGTAAATGATTTTTATTACTAGCCTCTTTAAAAAAAAATTAAATTACTGTTTTACAAACCCATACAGTATGGGTCCTTTTCTTTTTTTCTTTTCTTCTTTTTCTTTCCTTCTTTTTTGTTCTTTTTTTTCCTTCCCTTTTTTTTGTCTTTTTAAGACAGAGTTTTATTATAAAGTCCTGGCTGGCCTTAAACTCACTTTGTAGCCTAGACTGGCCTCAAACTCACGGTGATCCTCCTGCCTCAGCCTCCCTTGGGATTACAGGTGTGCGTCACCATGTTTCTTTTCTTTATGTGGAGGTAGCATAAAAATAGCAGTGCAGGTTTCCAAAGCTAAGGGATTGAGAACGAGATGTAGATTTTGAAGGGAAACGAAGTCTATTTAAATTACTTAATTCAGATAATTCTGCTCTTAAAATAGATTTCAGTATATTTCTTTTTAAAAATGTGTTGAATAAATTTTGCTTGTTAATTTTTCAAGTAAAAATTACAGGATGAGAATACTAAACTTTATACTTCTATGTAAAGGAGGGATAATAGTTCAGTCTCATAGAGAATTATTTGAATTGGGTAAACACTACCCGAATGATTACAATACTGTAATATAATACAAAGTAATAGAGAAAATCCAAAAAAGAAAAATAAATGAACCTGCACTTTGAAAACTGTGGCTGGTGTGAGGGAGACAGGAGAGAGGAGGGTTATTGTGTAGGTCAGCTTTCATTGTCTCTAAGGAATCACTAGTATCTATTGACTCAATGGAATCTTTTCCTTTCCACGCAACTTTAACAAGGAAGCTGCCCAGTGACACTTGCTTTTGTCTCATTTTGAGGATTTCACGGAAATGTGACATTGCATTGTTAAACAGAAATACCTTTTGCACTGCTACAGCCTTATTTGAGTGGTGCTTTTCTACAAAATTTAGCACTGTTTCCCATGTTTTACTCATCTGTCTAATCTCATTGGCAGTGAGGACTTCCTCTGTCACTTTCTTCTCTGCAGACAAGATCTCCACAACCTTGCTATTGGGAGGTGGTCACCTACAGTCCTACAGTGAGAGAGAGAACCAAGGCTCAGTTGTAATCATGTGACATTCAGCATCTTGTACTACTCTATTGGAAGACGTTACACATTACTTGTTTATCAAGTTAAAATTTATTAGAAATGTTTGCTTGTCTTGCGGAGCAGTTTACAGAACAAGTTACTTGCAAGGTTTTAATGTACTCATTTTATAAAAAAAGAACTCTATCTCTAGGCCTTGTATGATTTTGGAGCTACTTTTTTTTTTTTTTTTTAACCCAGTGTTAATTTCTGAGGCTAGGGAGAGAAACTTAAGAGAGATATAGGAAAGGGTAGAGGTTGGAGAAAAAAGTATAGATTTAAATTAAAATGGAAGCACAAAGGATAGTAGACAGGAAAGACCCTTGAGGCTGTAAGGTGCTGATTAAGGTGGAGATAAATGGCCGTGGATGTCAGGAACTACCTCTCTGATGACCTCAGATTCTTTTGCTTCTACCTCTTTCCTCATGCGACTTATGACTCTATATAAATAGTTTTGCAAAGTAGAATTACAGCTTATTTTCATTATTCACAGTAGTTAATGTTTTGTAATTGCTGCAAGCACTGAATTAGAATATATCGATTGTTCATAAGGGAAATACAGGATTATTTCTTGAGAAATGTGGGCCACAACAGTTTTGACAACCAGTTAATGCACTGGTTTGCATGTTTCAGTTTTCAAAAACCTTAATACAGTATATATAATGTTGCTTCATTACCATTGAGCTCCTGCCAAGAGCATAATAGTTCATGCACAAATGAAGCCTGTTTACCATACGCTTTCTCTAAAAGGCACATTGTAGCCTCTTTGTGTGTGGGAACACTAGATAGCTCTTGAGCGCTGCCTGTTGGCTGCCCTTTTAAGCATCACATTCAGCAGAGGGCACAGAAGTGTGGCACTAAAGAGAACACTGAAGGGACACTTGTTTGCAGTATGGGAGCTGAAATGAAGGGAGATGGTTCCCTGTTCTCAGTATAGGCATACTGGGAAACTCAGATTTTTCACTGTTTTGATCAGGCTCATCAAATGATGTAAGAAAGTGCTGTGAACGTTGATTTTGGGGCTTACATACAAATTGTGCAGAATAGGTATGAGAACCAACTGTATAAACTTTATTTTGGTTTTTCGTAAAACCCAATTTAATAAAATTACTTGTGTTTTTATGGTGATGATTATACATTGGTATAAGTTATTTTAATAAACAAGCTCTTTACTCTGTACTACTATTCATTTAATAGTTATCTCCATGTAGATAACTTAGTTATTCTGTACTTTTTGATATATATCAGATGTACTACTTTACTTGCTTTTAAGAATTCTTGTAGATAAAATACATAAAGATCTTAATGCAGGTTTATAATTGATAGAAAGATTAGGGTACAAAGAAGTATCTTGCTCGTAGTCATGCAAGCAGGTACTTACTTTTTTTTTTTTCTTTTTGAGATAGGGTGTCACTGTGCAGTTCAGGCTGGCCTTGAGCTC